AGGAGGAGGAGGAGGAGGAGAGTGACAAACCATCCAAAATAAGTGCTACAAGAACATAATTAGGGAATGATAATAGCATTTTGCGATTTCTTTATAAGTTCCTTTTTTTGTTAAATTAAAGTCACAACTGGAAGCAGTGGACTTGATGGTGACGCCTGTGCAAGGGGAGGCTTAAATTCGTCCAACTATAAATTTGCTTGGAGGCATAGCGCGGAGCCTAAAAGTGCTCTTGCGTAAGGAAAGCTCTGACTTTGGGAAATGGGGCAACACCTGCCTAAATGAAGAGGACTGAAATTCTAATTGATGTGTTGCAATTGCGTGGCCTTACACGTCCACCGCAACATCTTCAGAAAAGGGCGAACGGAGCGGCTTTGACCTTGACATTTGTGCTTATTAACGGCATCAAAGAGGACTGACTAACTTTTGTGGTGCCTTCGTAAGAAGTACAGTTTTCCTTCCAAAGGGTCGTCCTATAGGTTTGCTAAAAGGCAAGAAGAAAGGTGATTTAAAAAAAGCAGACAGTGGAGTGGTCAGGCAAAGTTGAGTGATAAGAAATAAATTTGCGCCAGGGTTGTACGGGTAGAGGAGATCGTCGCGCCACCACCTACCGGCATGTCGTTAGCCCTTTAAACTCCTCCTCACACCGGCAATACGAAATCCGCCATCAAAGTGATAGGAAGCCAATAAGTGACCCGAATTCTACTGCTTAGTAGTAAATTTTGGTTGAGTGGAAGAAAGACATTTGTTGGGGATGGAAGACTTTATGACAATTTTCCAAATTATGGTGGATAATGTTGCCTGCCTTCAGCGTGAAGCATCCAATGGAGACCGTTGCTAAGCTCGCCTCTGAGGCCTGGGTGTATCCCCTCCGCCTTCCAGCTATCTAGATAGAGTCCAGATGCTCACGCTTCGGCAGTTCCCTGAGAATGCGAACAGAAACAACACCTTTTCACCACGACAACATGCCGAACTCTGCTTTTTAGTTAAGATAGCTATGACTGGAGATGAAAATATGTGAGTGTCTGTACATCTCACCCTTCCCAATACAAAATGAGACTTCTTGACTCTCTGAACTTCCAAGAGATTGGTGTCTCAGTCCTGAGCAAAAGCAAATGATTCGAAGGTATTCTTTTTGGGCGCCGATCACTTTGTGGTGACTGACGTGGGAGTTTACCAACTCCTCAAGAGAGAGTGGTAAAGAAAACGAGACTTTTTGTAGTTATCCATTCTCTTTGACGTCTGGGCCATGTCGGCAAAGCCTTCGGCCCTCTGTACGTCAAAACGTGTACACTCTGTGGCCGGCATCACCACCTTGCACCGCCATCGAAGATGCGGTACCTTCTTTCTCAAGCATTTCTCCCACAATGGAAATGCACACACTCATCGTGAGTGCTTGATTGTGCAATTAAGCTCCTCCATTTTGAATTTTATATTCGATCATTTGTGCCTTTAATTTTACAAGTTTAGAAGCCCTAACTCCTAATTTGCATATTGCCTAAAACAGCGCAAATACCAGTCACTGATTCCACCTCCTACGTCGAATTTACAAAGTGGCTTTGATGCGCAAGTGGTTCTCAAAAAAGGACATTTCTTCATTCAACATGACCTAAAATTGGATCCTCCATAATTCTAATTAAATGTGAACTTACAGAGCTGCACTATGGCAAGGGAAGGCCAACCATTTTATGACAATAATCGTGCCTGACTGTGTCATTCTATTCCAGATGGCAAAAAACTGCACATTTGTACTAGCCATGGGGAGCAAGTAATGTCGTACTCCATTTTTTCCACTATTCTTATGCATTCTGATGATTTTATGCTAAACAATAAAATGAGGCATTACTTTGCAACTGCAAAATCACAAACGCTGGCATTTTAAATGCACGTAGACAGTGAAGTGCGTTTTTTTTGTGTAGATAAAGGTCAGTTCGTCGGGGTCATGGGAGGTGGGTGGGAAACAAAACAGCCCTTTTGCCGACACCTCTGGCATCAGTGTCTTGAAGCGGGCGAACAAGTTGCTTCGTGAGGTAGAGCGCTCCACTTCCACTCTATCTCTGAGTTCCGATGAATCGAAAGTGGTCACCGGTTCTGCCACTGTCACAGAGGCACAGCAGCATCGACACCGGCTTTTCGCAACTTTGGTGCCCGCCTTTGCACTCCTTGTTACGATAGTGGATGAACCACCACCAAGTTAAACATATAAGAATGAAATGCGGACTGATGCGCCAAATGGGAATAAATTTTGTGCATTTTAAAAGGGCACTGAAGCATCCACCCCACGGTAGGTGTTGCTGGCAGAGGGACGAGGTCGTGCGACAGCAGTTGGCGGAAGAATGTGCACCGGCTTTGCTGGGACAAGAGAGCAATTTTGTCAACCCCTCCCCCCCTTAAATTTGATTATGGTAAAAAATTTATTAACTTTATGAAAACTAGATGCTGTAGTCTTGATTCGAAGGCAACATTTTGAAAGGCGTAAATTGGTAGGTCTTTAAAGGCCTTTTATACAACAAGTTAGTATTGCACTGCCTTTTGACTTTGAGTAGAAAAGTAGGGCTAGCAAACTGTTTCCGCCAAGTCACAGTAAAGGGCCATACTTAGGTTTCATTAAGGACATTCTTTTCCTCACGACTCGCAAGCATGAGAAGAAGTCTGTCACGAGCATTGGCATGTGGGCGGAGATGGCGTAATGTGAGAAGGAAGTGAAATGCGAACTACGACGCTAAAGCGGCAACCAGCAGAGCACCAGGCGAGGGGATGGAGCAGACAAACCACTCACTGTACTCTCAGCCACTGACTGATTTTGGAGCCTATGCAGTGCTAATTCTCCGCCGTCAGAGTCTAGCTTCACATTATTATGCATTTTATTCCGCCTGATTCCACTGCACGCACCAACCACTTGTCTGTGCGTTTGGTGGTAACACAGACAGCCGAACTCAGACGGGACGATGCATCGAGGTCGGTGTAACAAACATTGATGAAAGCGTTTTTTTAATAAAGAAGAAACATTTAAACTCACGGGGAACTGAAAAGTCGCCTCGATGACTCTGTGATGTTTCCAGCCACAAATAAATATTCTTCAGAGCCGTTGTAAAAAGAAGAGATCGTGGTCAGAAGAACTTCAACCCCCGTCTGATGCTTTGGTACACCAACTTGTGGTCAAGATGGCGCCTGGCGGCCCTTCCTACCAACAAAGATGTGAGATCTTCAAACAACAAAATCCACAGCCACTTTCAATTTGAAGGATTAGTGAGGAAGCAGTTGTAAGGCTTTGTTTATGTGACTACCTGACGTTTGACGGTTACTTTGGGATGTGTCTGGCCCTCGTACACGTGGGATGGCCTTCGGACCATGCCCAGACCCATTTGTCCTGTCGTCTTCAGAATGCATGCATCCAACTGCACTTACTGACTTCTTATAGCGGCCAGGAGGTCTCGGGACGCTACAGTAGTTGTCTGCACTCCG